TAATACAGAACTTATTTAGTAAGTTATGTAACGCGAATTACTTGGCTTTAAATATAGACAAATTATTCATAATTCAAATTTGAAAGTAAAAGTCATTAAAATAAAAGGATAATAACCAACACTTCTTAACTAATGATCAATATCTTTATGATATAATTATTTTCATGATATTCTCCTTTAATGATTATTTTAAACATTTAGAAAGTAGTGTATAATATAATTACTACATAGTGTACACTCAATATCTGAAAAAGTTTCAATATCTGTTTTTAATTCCAATTTTAAATAATTCTAGTAATGGTAGAAAAATAATTAGTAGTGGAATAGAAAGCCTATTAAATATTGTATAATAACTGATAGAGATGACTTCTTAATGATCAAAGAGAAAAGGGTATTTTAAGTTTTTTGATTGTTTCTAAGTTTTGACTTCATAATTTTCATAAACCTGTCAAATTTATCATAATAAAGGTAATATAGTTAACTAAAGTGGAAATGAACAAACTTTAATTTTAGTAACTATGATATAAAAATTCTATAGCTTTAATGAAGTTATATAGGAAAATTTCTTATGCTATATTTTTGTAATTTATCACAATATAACTTTTTGAAAAAAATCTTCACAACCAATAACCAAACAACTAAATTGGTCATGGTATATGTTAATTTATAGTATACTATTCCACTCATTAAACATAAGTTATAAAATGTCTACTATCTGCACATAAGCTGAGCACATGACTAGATAATTATAAAATTATATATTAATTTAATACTACCCATGCTAAAGTATTAGTTGATTTAATGGTCGATATATTTTGCAGGAAAGGTATGGTACTTATTGATAGTATAATCAATATCGATTCCTTAAAACTACCTTTAATAATTTGTGTCACTTTAGAAAAATCAGTTCATAATGTATTTTCAATGCATTATTATTTTCAGATATTGGGTGTACACCGTGTATAAGATCATAAATATTTAAAAATTTATGTGTTACGATAACATAAATATGAAAATTGAATTAAATTCTTTGTAAATTAAAATATAAAATAATAGTATATTTATGTAGCAGTGTCGTTCTAATAGTTGGTTTAATACAAAAAGTTATATTTCATTAAATATTTGATAGTATGCTGCATTTATGTTAAGATTCTTTATAAGAAATTCTATGTCAAAAATTATTAATTGAAATAAATACAGTATGATTTTTGTGCTGAATTACAAACTTGCCAAACTTTTTATGTAATACATAATATCTGTTAATTTAATTCATTAAATTAAATATAAAATATATCAATACTTACATTATCTGCTTCTACTGAAGACATTTGGTTAAGATTAGTGTTTGAATCAGAAAAGGGGAAAATGATATCAGAATTGTCTACAAAGAATGTCTTCACATTCGAGTGCCTATTGCGAGTGGACTTCGATATAGTGATGGCATCGGTGTCGTCGCGACTCCTTTTAGTTTCAATTTGTGTCAAAACAACTAAATTATTACAACTTATATCCGGATGACTTGAATATAAGCGTTGATTCTTTTCTAATGTCTTTCTCTTATTATACGAACTCTTGATTCTATGGACCGGAGAAAAGCGTTTAATTGTCGACCAAATGGTTTGGATTTTCTTCAATTTTTTGACTCCAGTTGGAGAGGAATGTGAAGAGCCTTTGAGATGATAATATAGAAATACTTGAAAATGAATGCATGGAAACCACTTGAATAGTGATTTTATTGCTTATAATTTGTAGCCATAAAACTAATTGAAATATTTATTCACTTTTGGCTTTTTGTTATCATGCTTGTTTTTGTAAGATTGCTTACCTTCAGTGCATATACTGTCGAGACGGGAGGGCTGTCGACGAGGACTCGAAGACGAATTGTTGCGTTTAATGGTTTCCAGAATTGAAGGATTGTGACAATCATTGAGAGGACAGACACTTGTAATGTATGCTCTACTCATTGGGTTACGACAACAACCAAAGGATTCGTTTGAGTCATCTGTCAATGCAATAGAAAGCAGATGTCATTAAAACACTTGACAAACACTCTGTAATTCATTTCTATTAGTTTAATACATCGATATAATTATATTCTGCAAACAATATTGGATACGTGTTATGAATATGAAACAAAACATCACTTTCTAAAAAAGGATTATTTCTAAAAAAATCTAGAAATGTTTATCAAATTAAACTACTGTATTACAAGTAAATGATTCTGTTGATTTAAAGTAATTTTCTTTAATATCCTATTATATTGGAAAATGGTATTAATTAGAAAAATATAAAAATAATATTTTAAAATTGTAATATAAGGTTGTATAATAATTTTATTTTGTAAGTTGTTATACATACATGTAATCTTGATAAAATTATAGTAAAGATGCAAATTATGTTTATACTAGTAATCATAAGATTTAGAATTTTAAAAAAATGATAAGTGATAAATATCTGATTATTACACATATTAATGTAAAAATATATAAAACTTAAATGAAACTATTTAATATATAGAATTCACTTGTTAGTTTTCACTTTGGCATTCCCTTGAAATAATATTTTATTTGCTAGTTTAATGAGAGTTAAAACAAAACCTATGTTTAATTTCAATAATAACATCTGATATGAAGTTCAGGTTTACTTGGCGAACTATTTGATAGCAATTAATTATGAAACACCTGTAGTGATCCATTAATTATTATTTATTGAACAAATCTTATTATTTAATAAATAGTTTTTATTGATTTTTTTCAATATTCATTAAAGAATAAAAAGAAATTCATGATTTAAAAATACATACCATTAGCATATTTTCAATAGATTATAGATTGTAAATAAAAAGTAAAATAAATTTATTAGATAATCTGATTATTATATTGAATTATCTAATTAGATAAAGTAATTAAATATGTGCATAATTTAGAAAAGATTATTATATAAATTACTCCTACTTAATTTTTGGAGTTAGCCTAGGTACAAATTAGATTAGAATAATATATTCATTAATAATAAAAGAAAATAATACAACATTTATTTAGGTACAGTAAATGTATTCACGATTAAAAGTTTAAAAGTTGAGTTTATTTTAAAAGTTTGTCGATTAATGCAATAAAATGAGTACCTTTTTATATAAATTATTTAATCTTTAATTAACAAATTACGGAATATTCTGTATGAATATACAGTCACATATATTGCAAATAATTATTTAAATAAATAAATCTATAATAAAAATGTTTATATTGTTTATGAAATAAATTATGATTAAATTATAACTAAATTATAATAAATAAATAATTAACACAATACCAAAATCCATTAGTTAGATATCCATTAAACTATGGGTTCTTCATTGGGATGAGACAACTGAAGAATTTGGTTGCAATGAGAAGTGCTTTGCATGAATGAGGAATAGTCCTACTATTAGGGTCTAAATTGGTGTCAAAAGTATTATCACATTATAATAGACTACAACTAATTTCCTAAACAATTAATTCATAACAAATTAGTCGACAATTAGATTCTGTTTCCATATATTCTGTGATTCTGTCGATTGTTGTGCAGTGAAAGCCAACACTCAATGCATTGAGTATTGCAGTGAAAGATGCAGTGAACCAGAGATTGCACACAACAGTGACCTCTAGTGTCGGCACTCTATGAACGCATTGAACAGAAAGTGTGCTTTCATTCAGTCATTCATTCATTCAGTAATCAATCAGTGATTTATAAAACTATAAAACTATTTATTGAGTATTTAATAGATATTTGTCACACAAATCACTGATCCGTTCAAAGATGTATCAAATGGGAGGACAGCCGCAGATACTGGTGTTGAGTGAGTGGTGAATGGTATGGATGTATAGGCCATGTGTTGATGTATTGTCTGAACAATAGGTCAGAACACGAGACGCGAGTTCGGCCGCAAAGTGCAGATCGAGAACATCAGAGCCGCCAAAGCCATCGCCGATGTCATCCGCACCTGTTTGGGACCACGAGCTATGCTCAAGGTATGTGTCACGAACTCCATGCACCACACTCAACACTGACCATTGCCTCACACACGCACCCCATCGCCATATATGGGCATCACTTGATGCATGTCTTACATCTGTGCGAAGATGTTGATGAACCCAATGGGAAGTATTGTGATGACCAACGATGGCAACGCTATACTCCGAGAGATAACTGTCAAACATCCGGCCGCTAAGACTATGATCGAAATCAGTCGAACTCAGGACGAAGAGGTGGGCGACGGAACCACTTCTGTCATTATACTGACGGGAGAGCTGTTATCAGTGGCGCAACCATTTCTGGAGCAGAATATTCATCCGACGGTTATTATCAGTGCATATCGTCAGGCCTTAGAGGATATGCTAAACATCTTGAGAGACATTTCGCGTCAAATTGATACCAATAATGACAACGAAGTGATTGATTTGATTAAGAGTTGTATCGGAACTAAGATTTTCGGGAAATTGTAATATATTTTGAAATTGACTTAATTTGTGACAATATTTGTCTAATTGAATGAATGGTGACATTAGGGGTGAGTTTGCGTGTAATTTGGCGCTAAAAGCGGTCAAAACGGTGACCATTGAAGAGAACGGGAGACGAGAGATCGACATCAAGAAGTACGCGAAGGTTGAGAAAGTTCCCGGAGGTTCGGTCGAAGAGTCCACTGTTTTGTCGGGAATTATGCTCAACAAAGACGTGACCCATCCCAAGATGAAGAGGTAGTGTACAGCTGTTTGTGATAAACGAGTGCTCATTGTTTCCTAAATGTCTTTTCCGGCAGACGTATTGAAAACCCGAGGATTTTGTTACTCGACTGCGGTTTGGAGTACAAGAAAGGCGAGAGTCAGACAGACATTGAGATCATGAAAGACAACGACTTCTCGCGTTTGCTTCAAATCGAAGAGGAGTTCATTCAGAAGATGTGCTCCGATATAATCAAATGGAAACCCGATTTAGTGGTCACTGAGAAGGGAGTGTCCGATTTGGCTCAGCATTACTTAGTTAAGGCCGACATCTCATGCATACGACGTGTGAAGAAGACCGACAACAACCGCATCGCCAGAGCCACCGGCGCTACCATTGTATACCGAACTGATGAGATCAGGGAGGAAGACATTGGAACTCAGGCCGGACTCTTCGAAGTGAACAAAATTGGAGACGAGTTCGTCATCTCTTATAAAATGGTTTTTGGATGTCATTAAATGTAAACTTTTCCCTATTTTTTAGGTATTTTTGTTTCATTACTGAATGCAAAAACCCGAAGGCGTGTACTATACTATTGAGGGGCGCCTCCAAAGATATGCTCAATGAGTTGGAGCGTAACCTTCAGGACGCCATGTCTGTGGCCCGTAATATTTATAACGAACCCTTCATACTGGCCGGTGGTGGAGCTGTTGAGATGGCTGTGGGAAAGGTAGCTTTTTGTTGGCATTTGAATTAAATTTTTATTGACATTTGTATATATCTTAAAGATATTGTCAGAGAAAGCCAAGAGTATTACTGGTGTTCATCAGTGGCCCTATAAAGCCACTCAAAAAGCATTAGAAGTGATTCCAAGAACTTTAATCCAGAATTGCGGCGGCGATACCATTAGGACATTGACTGCTTTGCGCGCCAAACACGCGACCACTTCAGCAGATAACAAGACCTGGGGTATAAATGGAGAGACGGGAGAGTTGGTCGATATCGCACAGTTAGGCATTTGGGAACCACTTTCGGTCAAATTGCAGGCCTACAAGACTGCTGTTGAGGTCTATTTGATTTGAAATTTCTTGTTATAAATTGTTGTAATTAACTGTTATTTCCCGTAAACAGACGGCAATTCTTTTGCTGCGAATCGATGACATCGTTTCGGGATCTAAAAAGAGGGATCAGATCGAGAAAGAGAAACAAACCGAACGCAACAGAGCTGCCGAACCCACCGAAGAGTCCCAAAAGGATTAATGCATTCATTTGAATTGATTTTGTTTTTCATTATGTATTTGGACTTTAATAAGAATGATTTTATAATTGAGTGATAATATGATTACTAAATAAATGTCTAATTCTTAACTAATATTTCTTATTTTGTTATCAAAAATGAATGCTTGGAATAAGTTTGAAAAAAGTTTGAAAAAATGCCAAAAAGAAAGTAGAGGTCCCACCGAGATTTGAACTCGGATCGCTAGATTCAGAGTCTAGAGTGCTAACCATTACACCATGGGACCTGTTGGTGCTCACAATTCTTATATTTGCTATACGTTCAAAAGTTAATCTATTGGCAATTTACTTATTCTTAACTTATCACTACTTTCAGTTTTAGTTGTATTTGACCACAAGTCAGCGTTATTTTTAATTGATTAAAAGATTTCAAATTATTTTATTCTATACTAAGTTTATATGAAATATAAAAATATAATCATTTGTGGAAGACTTCCTTTAATTGATAGTAATTTACTATTACTAATAGTCTATTAGTAAACTAGTATTGAGGCAATCATTGAAACAATTGTTTGACGGCTTGTAATACTGTTTCAAAAATGATATTTTGGTCACAATTTCCGTCCAAATATTCTAAACAAATAAATAGATATTAACTGAAATTATATCATAACTTAATTTATAATGAATACCAATTGGGATATCATTTTGGATGCTCTTCATGTGCTCCATATTCTGCAAATACAAGGGCCAAACCCAGGCGTCAAAATATCCGATGGGATCGGGCGGTAAATAAGTGCGACCATCCCTTCGTGCGAAACACTCGTCCTTCTCGAGAGTGATGAAGAACTTCTTGTCACACAAGTCACAAATGGGCCTAAAATTGCATTTTATTCGTATAATATATACTAAAATTGCAAAATTGCAAAATATAACAATACTTATAATTGTAAATCATATGGCCTTCGATGATGAGAAGGGCCGAGTGGTTGGGCGGCTCTTTGCTCAACACGACATCGATGGCTCGCGCAAAGGCCTCCCAATCCATACTCGCCATACTCTCCCAATTCTGGTGTCTGATAGTAGGGCTCACGTCAATCCATTCATGGTTGGGGTCGTCATCGGCCTAAATTGTTATTAAATTTTAAAACATTTTAAAAATAACTTTGACTTCAATTACTCTAAAGAATTGATCCTGACTTATGATAACACAGTGTTCGAACTGTTGCTGCAAACGGTCGGCCAAAGTAGACTTCCCACCACATGTTACTCTGAAATCAGTTACACATCAGTTATCACACTATTGACACATCTTAGAGGTTAATATTTATAAATTATTATGTGAGGACTCTCCAGAATAAAACACTATTATCATATACACATAACTATAAAATTATAACTAAAGAATATCCCATAGAATAACATTATAAATTAATTGTTTTCCATTATAATTATATGGCATACCATTGGTATATGAACTGAATTAATACCACTTTAAATACACATCTTAAGCTAACAAATGAGCCATAAATCAGAATCCGAGAAATTCTCATTACCGAGAAATAAGCCATAGAATTACATGTGTTTAGATACAGAATTTGGGGAAAACTCGATTTTGACCCCCGCGCCTGAATTTTAGAACCCCCTTTCTATATTGAATATTAAAGCTTACATATAGTACTATTATTATATAAAATAATCCAAGATGCGTGTTGTTACACCATAATGTGTTTTTTCTAAAACAAAATATAATAACTTATAAATGTTAGTTATTTACATTCTGATGCAAGCATTGAGTAGAATTGCATTGCAGCGAAGCCTAATTCTGATGCAATGTACGCTAATGTTACAGAATAGGAAAAATCTGATGAAATTCTGGACTCGTGTTACAGAATATTTTATACCAGATATATACTCATTGCTCGGCGCCAGAACAGTCAGTCATGATTGTGTTCTCAAACGATTCACATCTCTATGTACTAAATTATGTACTCAAATATATAAAAATGTAACGCAAAAATAAAACAATATTAAGTCTGCAATCAAATGTCTTTACTTTTATCATTTGTGTTACAATTACTAAATATGTCTTAAAGTTCTCTTAACTCAACCGCTAATTCCCGGCGACCCTATCGTGTGTTACTGTTTAGTTAAGTGGAGTCTCTTCGACAGTATTAACTATTATTAGCCTCCGATAATAGTTATACTACTGTTTTTGATGGTTCGTACAGTTCGAGTCTAAACTCATCGCTAAGGCTAAACGCATTCGAGACCTCAAGAATCGCAAATAAACTATTCTGGCAAATACTCAATCACTACACCCCACAACTTGGACTCAACAATTAAGATCCGTCACACTTGGCGCAGTCGGTAGGATACGACACCCGCTTAACTGAACAGTTCACACCCGCCGCGGACAACACAACCACCAGAATAACGCTAAGTCATAATTTTGAAGATATATTGAATATCTGCTATTTAATATGTTTAAAATTATGATTTAGCGTTATCACTGCTCGCGACTACTTATACAACTGAACGAAAGCTATTTTGCAAAATACAATTAATAACGAATTCAAACGTAATTCCGACGTAAATCGCTGACGGCTAACAAATATCAATCGCATTGCAATACTATTACTTATACTTTGACGAAAACATGGCCGATGATGAGAACAATGAAGGCGATGCCGAAGCTGATGAACGCATAGTCATAAATAACTCTCCAAAGCTCGAGAAATACGATGGCATTACCCGCTCTGTCCGTGTCCAGACATGGATCAAACTCTATGAGGCGCACACTGATGGAAATACCGACGCAGATCGCATAAAATGTCTTCTCTATTCACTCAAGGGTTCTGTGAGAAATACGATGGCATTACCCGCTCTGTCCGTATCCAGACATGGATCAAACTCTATGAGGCGCACACTGATGGAAATACCGACGCAGATCGCATAAAATGTCTTCTCTATTCACTCAAGGGTTGACGAGAACTTACCATACCTCTGCTCTAGCGTCCATGATTGTAGTGAGCAACCCTTTGACAATTTCTGGCGAATTGGTTTGCTAAGCCATGACGCTGGAGTTGTGGTGAGTAACTACGGGTTTCTGCATATCTACGCAGAGAAGAAACAGTTGAACAGTACTTCCGTGACAAAGTCCGTCTATTGCGTCAAACCCGACTAACAGATAAAGAAATGATCCAACAACTTACCGAAGGTCTACCGTACTCCTGGAAACTAACACTCACAGCCGCAAAGCCTGCAGACATTGGCATTTGGATTGAAGTCGCACAACAGATAGAAACACATAATAAGCAGCAGTTCCGTAAAACACAGCAATCGAACAGTCGTTTTACCGCTCGTTCTAGTCATTCACGCCCCGCAACAAAACCTGCAAACAATGTCAATATTGCAACCCAGAGTCGCCCACCAAAGTGTAGATTCTGTGAACAACGCGGAAAAACCGAGTATCATTGGCACAATGATTGCCCGCATAAACCTGACCATTACGTAAATAATTCAAATCGCAGAGCACAACAAACTCGCAATTTTACAAACAATCGCAATAATAATCCGAGAAACACAAATACAGACGCAAATCTCATTGACTCGAATTCTGACGACATCGACGCAAATGATGTCCAGAATTTAAACTAAATCAGCGATCAATCCTACAATTCGTCAATTTTACTGTTAGACTTAACGACATTCCCGTTCAAGCATTCATTGACACCGGTAGCGTAATTAATGTCATGTCATATAAGTTCGCAAAACAAATTGGTCTCCGCCCGCTGCCGAACACATCCATAACTATAAAACAAGTCAACAGTTTCACGCAAAGTATTGGTCGCGTACAACCGAAACTAACTATTGGAGACACCACTCATAACATAAATTTTCATATAGATGCGGTGAAGGCAATAGGCGATGAAGAACCAGAACTACAACCCCTCGCTAAATTCAATTTTGAGCTGAATCTTTGGGCGTTTCGGGATTACGGCTGGTGATCTTCGAGCTAGCCTATGTGTAGTTTACATTTATGCGTATCGCAAACGCATCAACTAAACGCACTCTTGGAAAGTCACTCAAAAGTCTTCAGCGAAGAAGATATCGGACGTATCCGTATAGTCAAGCATAGCATTCGCACTGTACCGCACCCGCCGATACACTTACGGCCCTACCGTAGGCCTCAATTCGAATACGATGAGACAAAACGTATTGTCTCCGATCTCATAGCAAAGCAATGCATCCGCGAAAGCACCTCTCCCTGGGCTTTCCCCGTCCAGGAGCAAGCGTTTGTCCTATTGTGAAAGGCGGAGCATTATCTAATGTCCTTTGAGTTGCCAATATCCATTCCCGACAAAATGCCAATGCCTCGTATAACCGAAGTGTTAGACCGCCTTCAGGGCGCGCGATTCTTTACAACACTTGACGTCGCATGGGGTTACTGGCATATCGAGATGGATCCCGCATCAATCGAAATGACAGCGTTCGTGACCAACGAAGGTCATTACGAATGGCTCGTTATGCCAATGGGTCTTATGAACTCAGGCGCCACATTTCAACGCATAATTCAAAGAATACTTGGCAAACACTTATACAATGGAGTAATCAATTATTTAGATGACTTCATCATATACTCGCATACATTCGATGAACACATCGCAAAACTCGATGAAATACTTAAACTATTAATTGATTTCAAAGAATACTTGGCAAACACTTATACAATGGAGTAATCAATTATTTGGATGACTTCATCATATACTCGCATACATTCGATGAACACATCGCAAAACTCGATGAAATACTTAAACTATTAATTGAATTTAATATTAAACTTAAACGCTCGAAATGCCATTTCATTCAAACCTCAGTCAAATACTTAGGACACATAGTTTCTCATAATCAGGTCAAACCCTCGAATGAGAAAATCGCAGCAGTTCTCGACTTTCCAGTTATATTAAACTTAAACGCTCGAAATGCCATTTTATTCAAACCTCAGTCAAATACTTAGGACACATAGTTTCTCATAATCAGGTCAAACCCTCGAATGAGAAAATCGCAGCAGTTCTCGACTTTCCAGTACCGGATACACTCCGCAAAGTCAGACGTTTTCTTGGACTCACCGGCTATTACCGTCGCTTTGTACCAAAATTCTCACAAATAGCCAAACCACTCACATCACTTACTCGCAAAGGTATCAGTAAGGCTACCCCAGGGCTTGTCGTTTGACGAAAACTTTGCGAAGCGTTTCGTCAGTGTCTTGGAGGTCAAGAGCGTAATATGCTGGGTGTGTTCGGCACATGGTAAATGTGTCTGCGGAGTTTCTATGGAATCGGAGCTAGAGAGTGTGTTTAACCACTGCTGTTATTACTTGTGCAGTAACTTATAATAAGGGCATCTGAATTGTTTGTAGTTCTCTTGATGTGGCGTAGACTTGAGCTTACAGAGCGTCATCAGCTGCGACACCTGCACTTCGAAGTATACTTATCACTGCCGGTAAAGATCATCACAGATCACTCCGCTCTCCAATGGCTCTATAATCTTCGCAAACCGAAAGGCCGTCTCTTTCACTGGTCTGTTAAACTGAGTACTATTCCGCACCAGATCATACATCGCGCTGGTCGTAATCAACAACACGTTGACGCACTCTCTCGTGAACCGCTTCCGCTTACAAATGAATCAATTTATCTCATATCAATTTCACAACATCTCTCGACTGATGAACTCGTGACCGCACAGAAAGAATCAGATCTCTCGTACATCGTCGCACCGATTGTACACAACGACATAATAACAGTCAAAGTCAGAGGACAACTCAAGGCAGTCGTACCCTCATCCCTTCGCCCTAAACTTCTGCAACATTTTCATGAAAATCATGGACATCCTGGCAAACGCAAGACGGTTAAACTAATCTCAACCCACTATTATTGGCCAAACATTATCGCAGACATTAAAACACACGTGTCTTCGTGTAAAACTTGTCAACTCGTGAAACACAAGCATACCCTTACACCTGGTCATTACGTCGTACCTGAAATAGTAGATCAACCACTCGATCTAATAGGACTCGACACCATAGTCATGGGTCCGTCCGCTAACAAAACTAAAGCAAAATACATACAAGTGTTTATTGACCACCACTCCCGATACATCTGGGCATTCCCTACTCCACGCAATAGCGCTGTAACTATCGTTTCGCTATTCAGACAACTCTTACAATCAGTTCTTACAATCAGGAATCAAACCGTTACGGCTTCTAACTGATTGTCACTTAAGTTTTCAATCAAAGGCTCTTAAAGACTTTTGTTTTAAAAACCAAATCAAACATGTCTTCTCGACGCCGTACAGGCCGCAGACCAATGGGATTGTAGAACGTGGAAATGGAACAATTATTGAGAAACTCAGAGCCGAAATTCACGACAAACCAACCCGCAAATGGAACACACTTCTCAAAGACGTTATCCGTCATTATAATGACACTCCTCACGATATCACTGGATTTTCGCCCAAATATCTCAT